CCCCCCCCCCCCCCGCACGACAACGTACGAAAACGACCTCGTTTGCCTTCCATGTCATTTGTCGGTTGAGCAGACTCAAACGCTGTGACCTTTCCTTCTCCGTTGTGGTGTGTTCCCCTCCCCTCTGCTTGTGTTACGCCTCACAGGACGACCTTCCGGTGGACCCCAACGAGCCGGTGTACTGCTTGTGCATGCAGGTCTCGTACGGGAAGATGGTGGGTTGTGACAACCCGTCTTGCGACAATGGTGAGAGGGCCGCGCGAAGTAAACACCGTGCGTCACGAGCGGGGGGCGGAGGAGTTTCAATGCTTGTTGTACATGGCTACATGTAAAGGTTCTTGATGGGGCGAAATGAACACGTCGCAACAAGGCCCAGCAAGCGGTGAATGTACATGGTGTGTCCACCAAAGCACGTGCTGATTAGGGAGTGTTGCTGTGTGTGTGCTGCTGTCGCTCATGATGGTGGCCGGCAGACCCTCCCCCGCGCCTTGCTGACACTCTTGTCTCCTTGTTGTTTGCCTTCTTGCTTCTTGTCCGTCCGTTCCTCCGTCCGTGTGGCGTTTCCTAAAACAAACACACCAAAAAAACAAAAAAACAAGCAGGGGAATGGTTCCACTTCGGGTGTGTCAACCTCACCAAGAGGCCACCAGGGCGGTGGCTGTGCCCAGGCTGCACGGCGCAGCGGCGGCAGTCCCGCCGAGGCGGGGGGGGCGGAGCGGCGGCGGCGGCTGCCGCCGCCGCCGCGCAGGTTGACACTGCCAGCCCGTGGTCGGTGGTGAACTGAGGCAGGAGGGCCCGGAGTTTTAGCGGTGGGTATGGGAGGGTAAGGGGTGGCATTATGTGTGAGCGTGAACCGACGGAGGAGACGGGATTCAACACGGCTGGCGGTTTTGGGCGGATGGTTTTATGTGCGCAGGAGGAAGTCGATGGGCAGTTGGGAGGGTGTGGAATGCCATCGGTGGGCCCGCCTACGCCGTTAATTGACACATGCACCGGGGTACCGATGGAAGATTGATGTAGGCTGTGTGGTGTGTACGTGTGGAGGGTAAGGTGAAAATAAGAAGGGTCAGGAGCTTAGAAACTGTGTGTAGTGTAGGAGGTGAAAGTCGACAGCGTTGAAGGGTTGGAACGTGTAAGGGGTACGGGCGTTTGACCGCGACGACTCGCACGGTACAGCGGTACAATAGAGGCATCGAGACTGTTCTACTTGCAATATTTGTTCTTGGAGGGGAAGGGGGAAGGGCAGGGGTGAAGGAGACAGGTGCACTTGCGCGGGTGTTAATTGGGGCAGGAGAGAGTACATGTGGAGCGATGTGCTGGGGGATATTATTTCGTGGAGTGGTGGGGGCTGTAGACGTCGATCCACAACATCGACCGCTAAACTTTTTAGGTTTTGTGTGCGAGGTTATTTTGGTTGTGTGATGCTGTTCGAATATCCAGCGGTGTAGACCCCCTAGTGCCATAGAAGGCATCGCACCCCGTGCGCATGTACCATCTTTGTTTCCCCTGAGCTTGGTGCAACGACGTTTTTCGGGCGGGGTGAGTGGTGGGGTGCAGTTGATGTTTGTGTTGTTTTGTGTGAAGCATGCAAGCTCGTGTCACCGGGTGTCTGTGTGTGACGTGCGAAATGTGTGAAACAGAACGTCGTGTGTCGGGCTCGAGGTAGACAGGGAGGCCGCATCGCGGTGTTTGTGTGTGCTCCAGGCGCTTCGGTACCGTCGCTCTCTCCCTCTCTCTCTGTCTCTCTCTCTCTCTCTCTGACGTGGTGCTTGCTCGCGCCTTGTTTCAACGAGTCTAGTCTTTGTTCTGGATCGTGCGGTGTCGTCGTGCGTGCGGCGTTGGGCATGATGAGCACGTCTTGTTTTCTTCGCAGCCTGCGGGGCAGCGCAGACGTCCTTCCACCGCGGTGGCTGACTTACGTGTGTCTTTGTTCTTTGATGTTGGCATCGATCGCGCTAACCGGCTGGCCAATGAAAATACTTCGATGCCAGCGGGTAAAATTGAGGTCCCTGAAAGGGTACCAAACTTCGAAATTTGCGCATGCGCTGGATGCGAATGCCGGAAATAAGTCTTTTGAAATCTTGTCACGGACATACAAATCACCGCTGTTGGTGTGTTAAAAAAGTATGTGCTTGAAATAGCATCAACCGCGATGTGTGTGTGTGTACTTCCCACCAGAGAAAGCGGTTTGTACCTGTGGGAGGTAGGCAGCAGCAGCTGAGCTGCCAAGTGCACGCTAGAGAAAGCCGCGGTAGTCGTCCATCCCATACAAAAAAAAACAAGCACGAATGAGAATACAGGGGCTGGTGGAGGTGTTCACGACCGTTCTTGGCGCGTGTAGGCGTTGTACTAACGCTAACGGACACCAAGCATTAACGTGGGGTGGGCGCACGTTGTGTGCGTCGAGTACGGCGCTGTTCGTAGAGTCAAAACACTTTTACGGATGTCGCGAGGTGGCGACGAAAAGCAACAGCAACCAGCTGTCGTTTATTTGTCGAGAAAACTCAAAAAGAAAAAAACAAACTCCTTACCCTCTTTCGGATGAGACGGGCCCACATTTGTTGGTCCGTCGAAGTGAACGCCAACAAATAATTTGCACCAGTGTGTCACGCACTTGCTGAAAAAGCACCATGATCGAAGAACAAAACTTAGACGAAACTATCTCCCGTGCCTACAGCAATAGTCTTGGAAGATGGCGTATTTCCAAGTCCCACTTAATCTGGACGTCAGCATTATGAAAGACTTTCGGTGCGATGGGACACACGGGTTTGCACACGACGGAGGCTCTCTTTATGTCAAGTAGGTGTGAATTTCCTTTGGCGGTGCCTGCCCTATCTGGTATAGGACTCTGTCATGTCCCTTCCCTTGTCGATCATTGAGTCGACCTTTTTCTGTATACATATCCTGGCAATACTCGTGCGCCATTTGTGTGCACAACAGAAAATAAGTGCTGGTGAATAACGGAGCGGGCAGACCGGATTCACACGACAGTAACACCGTCCAGGGCGCGTATCATGGCACGGCAGAAGGTAGAACACGACACACGACGAAAACACCAACACTTTCAAATTCTTCTGCTGGCCCTCACGAGTCAAAACCACAAACACAACTAGCGAACGACCACAAAGAGGGAAAAATCTTGATTCAAATTGAAAGGATACGACCGAGCCTTTTTCACTCCCGCCAGGACATAAACACAACATGCCACCGAGGAATTGCGACGGCCTTCGAAAGCCAAACAAACGACCTGCACCGAAAAAATTGCTTCATAGCCTCACCCAGCAGCAGGGGGTGGATTGAAAGAAAAGTTCCGCCATCGCCATCTGATCCCGTGGGAAAAACACAACAGTCACAAAGAAGACAATAACGCCCGCGCCGCGTCTATTTACATCCCGTGTCCACAAATCAAGCACTGGTTTTCGCTTAAACAAGTGGAAGCAGCAGTTTTGCTGGTATTGCGGGCCCCCCGCTGCAGATAGGACAGCTTACGTCGGGCAAACCATACTTCGTACTGTATAGACAACACCAAGGGGCCTGGTGGACCTCTACACTGGGCAGCATCTCGCGCTACAAAGAGAAGGCATGCAATTCCCTACCTATACAGCGTGACAAAATATCATTGCAATCATTTCGGACAGACCACCACCAACAACCCAAACGCTGTCGAACGTTCGTCTGACGTTCTTGACAGGCACAAAAAAAGACTACATGTGGACGCAAACACCATTCGTCCTTTCGTCGGTGTCGTCGACGCGAACACATGGACTGTATGCAATGACTAATGAACAGTCGCCGATGAACAACCTCCCGTTCGACCCTCGCGCTACTTGTGTCCGGGAAGAATTTCCTAACTAAATACATAAACCTCTTCTGTATGACGGTCTTATCTTTTGAAGTGACCCTGAGATGCGGCGATCCCTCCCCTCGCGCACCCCAGAACAGAACGAAGACGACGACAACAACAACAACAACAACAGTAACGACAAGGCAAAGAGCTACTTACACGATCCACTAGACATGGATTCGCTTGCATCGACTCGATCAAAGGTTGGCAAAGCCGATCGATCGATACTGCTGTCATAACAACAACAAAAAAGATCTACAATTGCATGCAGCAGCAAGAGAGAGAGGCTCTTTTCCCGAATCGTTCCCCGGACAAGCGCGCGCGAGGAACCAAGGAAGAACCCGCAAAGACCAACACGCAGACTTGAAACGAGGGCGCCCGGTGTTGCTCCAAAGCCCCCCGCGTTCCCCCTTGCCCTATCGGGCACGCTTATCTACACCACCGCCTCCTGCCGCCCGTGGCCACGGCACGGTGTGTGCCGTCCCATGCCACCGATTCGCTTTTCTCTATATGCAAATACAGGCGTTCCATGGCCCTGCGGCACGCGCTCTCCTCTCAACCCCAGCCAATGATGATATACGTAGCAGAAGGCGCAGGCCGAAGGGGTGTAGTCTTGAGTAGTCTCCTCCGGTAAATGGCTGGAGGCGTAATTGGGAGTCCAGAAGCGAGCCGATGGGAGCGCACCTTCGGAAAGCAATATGAACGGCGCATACTATTGTACCATCAGTATGGCACACACACCACTGTTCGTTCGCTTGACGAACTCACGCCTTCCTTCAGGAGGACCACAACCCGACCAACAGCTTCCCATGCGTTTGACCGCCGCCCCAGTTCCAACTAACCGCACGAACAAGGGTGATCGTGGGACACTAGGGGACGGCGTGGAACTGCGCCGTACCACCCGGCTACGGCTACACCCTCCGCCCAAAACCGAAGCCACAAATAGTTGCTTGACACTCGCTCGTCCAAGGACCCAGAAGCCCGGATTCGTCTTTCTCCGTCGGCGACTATCGTGCTCCGACCTGTGACTCACAAATTTCCATCGCGCCCCCCCCGAAGTTTCGATATTACTGCTTTAAAGCTACCCTGTCCCCGGCATCGTCGCCCATCGTGGGCGGCAGAACTGCCTCGGCGGCCGGTAGAACGTCCCCTCGGTCCTCTCCCTCTCCTTCAGTCTGAACACCACCGCCGCCGTCACCGGCAACGTCAAACGGAAGCTCGGGCACCTGGTCGTAGCGCAGCTGCGGCCGCTCTTGCTGCGGCTGCTTGCCGCCCTGCATCATCTGCGTGCAGTTGCACAGGCTCCGGTCGTAGCCCGTCGTGTCCGCGACCTTGATGTAATAGTTGTTAATCGAGAAGGTGAAGGGGTACGTCTTGTAGCCGTGCCACATCACCGACGCCGATATCGTCGCGTCCATCAGGAAGGCCAGCTGCCCGGTCTCGTACTCCAAGCCTGCGCAGGCCATCGATCCATTGAGTTGGGAGGTGTTCGATCAGTGTCCGATCAGGAGAGCGCGAGTGGGGGGTGAAAGAGCGGGGCTATGTAAGAAAGCCCTACGGTGCTTCATGAACTTTCTCCCGCACACTGTCAAGAGTTCAACACATCCCCTTCGACTGTGGTACTATCTCGAACAGACATCTAGCTTATTATTTCAAGAAAAATATAGACTATTAGTGTTTCTGTGGTTATGTTTACGTATATATATATTTGGGATTAACTGACCCATCAATCTCTTACACCCAGTTGCATGGCTTTGGCCTCCCTGCGTCGCCAACAAACCCACACGGTCACCAAACTGTGGGAAAACCCCCACGTGGCTGTAGAGCATCTCATGCCAGGACCCTAAAACGCCCCCCGCGCCCGCTCCCCTGCCGATACCGGCTGCAAGCAACACGGGCACGTACAGCACAAACCACAATCACTGCTGTCGATTTCGTGTGCTGCTGTACATGTAGACAGAAAACGGGTGTGCGAGGTAAGGCATAACAGACCGAAGCGTACCTAGGTGCGCCTCCTCCCAGACCTCGGTCTTGAAGGTGATGGTCAACAGGATGTCCGTCACGTAGCCCCCCGCAAGGAGCGCCGGTTCGAACGCCATCACGCCCACCTTCGCACCGGGCAGAACAAACGCACGAGGGCGCCAAAAACCACACGAGCACAAAGATACGCCCATCATGTAAAATTCTTCTGTCTTCCACGAGAGGATAAGAGGTAGCACGAGAACTACGGGACGAGCTGGGGGTATTAGCCCGCGCGCACGGCGAGGGTTCAAAGAAGAGGGTGAGGCTTATGTGACACGGTCCGAGGCTTAGCTTTCTGTTGTTTGTTTCGTACCATGCGTTCCTGTTGCAGTACAGCATGCCGCCGCGATCGCCCCGCGGTTCTCTGGCCCTCCAATACAACTCTTGATTCGTTGTGACCAATAACACGCGCGCGGCAACCTCGTGATGGGACAAGCACTCACTCGAGCGCTTCAATATCTGGGCATCCTGTCATATTCCCTCAGGCATCACGCATCAATCCTGACAAACAACAATACACGCACCTGGCTTCAATTACCCTAGGCGATCGACGGTTGCCCCCCTCCCCCGTCACTAGAATCGTCGGTGTTGTCTGTTAGGAACGGGATGTGTGGTAAATAGCCAAACAGCGAGTACCTGTTACCCTCTCCCCTCCACCCCCCCCCGGTGTTTGCCATCGGGATTGGGTTTTCGTCGCTTGGCAA